GGGGTGAAGGACCCCCATTCCCCAAGGGTCCTGCAACACCGCCTGCCGGTCCCCTGGCTCCTCTCTCCACAGAGCCCGTTCCCCTCCGGACCCCGCACTCACCCGCCAGTGTTTGAGTCAGGACCAGGGTCCCCGAGAGCAGCAGGAGGAGGGTCCGAAGCCCCATGATTGTGTTATTGGGGTTCAGAAGGAGTTACTTCCCAGTGGGTCACAGTGGCCATTATAACCGGGAGTCTCGGTCACGGTGATTGGCTTCTCCGGGAATCGGAGACCCAATAGGAATGAGGACTGTGTACACGTCACGTGTGTCCCGGCAGAAGCAGCTGACACAGGTTGTGAGAAGGAGAAGTGAAACTCCAAGTAGAAGGGGAATCCCCAGTGCTGGGTCTCCCCGCCCCTGGTGCTGCCTCTGAGATCTGAGAGCCAAGCCCAGGACCTGGGACTCTGCCCTGAGCCCTCTCCTCAGGCCCCAGCCTTCTGTGCTGCCCCGTCTCCTTGAGTCCTGGGTCAGAGCCTGGTTATGTCACAGGTTCCTGTGAGTTTAAGAATCTCTGTGCTGTCCTGGTGTGTGCTGTAGGATAAACACTCCACAGCAAAGTGGGCAGTTCAAACTCACTAGCCGCTCCTAAGAAACAACGTACAACGTAGCTATGGGTCAGAACCAACTAGAGGACACTTAACTAAAATGAATACTTTCCCATACACACATCTATTGTTATTGTTAATTGCCTTCGAATCGGTTATGACTCAGCCACCCTGTATAGGGTTTCAGAGGAATGGCTGGTAAGATTGAAACTCAGATCTTGAGGTACGGTGCTTATCCTACAGCACCACACCATACAGACCCTATATGACAGAACAGAACAGCCCCATAGAGTTTCCTAGACTGCAGTGCAGCTCTATGAGTTAATACTACAAAACCGTTTGAACTGCAAGGTCGGCAGTTCAAACTCACCATCTGCTCCTCAGAAACCCTATACAGGGTCACTGTGGATCGGAATCGACTCGACGGCACTTAACAACAACAACAGTCTTTAAAGGATGAGATCAGCAGGACTTTTCTCCCATGGAATGACAGGTGGCTTCCCATCACTGATCTTTGAGTTTAGCAGCCAAGACCTTAACCATTAAACCGCCTTAGAATTTCTATTCACTCTTAAAGTTCATGAGGAACCCAAAAAATTTAGTTTATGTGGGTTATTGTAGTTGTTAAGTGCCATCAGAGTTGGTTTGGACTCATACGCACCTGTATAGGGTATCTGAGAAGCCGCTGGTATTTTTGAACCATCAACCTTGTCATTAGCAGTCCAGCGTTTATCCTACAACGCCACACCAGGCCTTCTTATGTGGGTTATGTGTACTGATATGAACCATATGAGAAATATCCAACAAATTTATAAAAATGAGTT